AAATCAATAACTTTTGGCATCTGAAAATGAAAATGCACAACAATTTTAAAATAGTTTTACGCAGCCGATTTCTTGTAAACTTCGAAAAACGACAATTTGCACAAAGTGCAAATTTCCTTCCGTAGAATTTTTTTTTTCTGACGTTTCTTCTCGATGATAATATTATATTAAAACAATAAAAAGAAGGGGTCACCGGGCTTCTTTTTATGTAAAAGCCCTCGCGAGTTCCGTTATTCCCACGCGCGTAGACACGCATTCGAAAATCCAGACTTTATAAGATCAACAGTTGCTCATGAGCTGTTTTGACTACCGCTGACTGCTTCGTCTGCCCGTGCGGGCGAGCGGGCTCGGAACAAGAGTTTTGTTTTGTTTGCTGCTAAAACATCATTTACAGTTGTAGTTGTCGTTAAAGACAACCTCCTGGGCATACTCTGTAAGATTTCTATACAAATTCTGGGTAGATTTGCTATGTTTTGCGAGTCCTTTATAAGCTCCCGGTGGCTGTCACGATCGATCGAGTTGCCTTTGAAATTTGGGAAACTTTGAATTCCCGAAACAGTTTTCCTTAAATATACACAATTGACTCAAGTTGTTCTAGCAGGTAAAGCCTCCTTTATGTGCGAATTTCGTCTCCAACACTACAAAAGTGACCTTGCATGAAAAAGCCGCGCTACGCCATATTTGTTTGGTCTTTCGGGTTTTAAATCTCGTGCCTCTATCGTGCGTGTTACTCACGCGTGACGCACGATGGTGATCTACTCCCCGCGCGAGAAAACTGGTACCAGCCACCTTAAACCAACGCAAATGTCAATAACTGTCGTTATAATCCATCAAATATTATCGCTCCCGTGCGATTGGTCTAAATGAGTGACGTGATTACTATCTGCAATTTCGCCAAGACGTGAGTTTAATATTTTAACTTTCTCTTAGAGAGCATGTAACAGACCAAGGAAATCCAGTTCGCATGCATTATGTAGTCAACAAGAAAGAACCGAGAAATATAAAATTTCAAATAAAAATTGAATGAACAACAGGGTTGCGCTTGAAACTTGTGTTGCCGCCGCATGGCTGCATTTAATTCTTTTGTTACTTTTTCCGTTTGTGCGCACATTCTTTCCGTCATCATTGCATTCTTTTCGTTTAAATCTGGCTTTCACGTAATCAATATTCTGTCAGGTTTTTTTTTTTGGATAATTTTGTTGTTTCAGTCCCTTTTTGTATGCATGTAGCCGATGCGAAGAGCGGTAGAAGTAAGTATGCAAATGAGACAAACGAAAGGAAATGCCAATAACTGTCGTTATAATCCAGCAAATATTTTCGCTCGCGTGCGATTGGTCTAAACGAGTCACGTGATTACTAATTGCAATTTCGCTAAGACGTAAGTTTAATATTTTAGCTTTCTGCTAGAGAGCATGTAACAGACTATGAAAATCCAGCTTGCACGCATTAAGTAGCCAACAAAAAAGAACCAAGAAATATAAAATTTAATAAATAATTGAGCGAACAATAGGCTTGAGCTTGAAACTTGATTGGATGAAAAGCCCCTAAAAATTCTACACTAACAGCATACCGTCTCTTATTTCCTGAGCTCTTTTTGATCTGTGGCGCGTTGGCCAGCATCCTGTTTAGAGCGGCTTATCAATTGAATGTCGTAAAACCAAAACGAAAGTGATCACTCACACAGATCACAAAGAACACAGACAATCCAGTGAACCAATCAAAACTCCAATCAGATACGAAGATAGATGTAGCCGATACGAAGCGCGGTAAGAAAAATGTGCAAATGAGTTAAACCAAAGAAAATCCCAAAAACTTGCGGTATTCAAGTGAAAACCGCTCTAGTAACCCATAACTGAAGTAACACTGAAATCCCAAAAACAAACTGACAAACAAACAGGCCTGTTTCCAAGTGATTTTGTGCTTCTTCAAAATCTCTCTCCTTCGCGACATTTAACCTATTCTGTTGCAATTACTGATGACGGGCTGAGAGTGAAAATTTCAACAACAAAACACAATTGCCAAGCAACAATGGTTTACGTAACACNTTTTCAGTTGGCCAAGCCGCACATATTGAGCTATTAAACATATTGATATTAAACAGATATTGACAATCAAGCTAGCCTCCCCTATAAGCCTGGTGGTATTAGATTATCCCCCCGGTTTTTAACAGGGAAGTAAAACATCTATTACTTATTCTAGCAGGACGCCGTTTAAACATTTGCATTTTCCATCTTTTGCTGAAGAAGGCAACAGTAGTGGCCGAAACGTCCGATAACCATATTTTTAGCCAGTGACAACCATTTAATTCCCTTTTTACCAATTTTTAACATGCCTGGCTACACACCGAACATTTTTGAGTCGTGTGATTACTATTTGCAATTTCGCTGAGACGTGAGTTTAATATTTTAGCTTTCTCCCAGAGAGCATGTAACAAACCATGGAAAGCCAGTTGGCATGCTTTAAGCAGTCAACCAGAAAGAACCAAGAAATATAAAATTTAATAAAAAACTGAGTGAACAATAGGCTTGAGCTTGAAACTTGATTGGAAAAATTGCCCCTAAAAAATCTACACTAACAGCATACCGTCTTCTATTTACTGAGCTCTTTTCGACCTCTGCTGTGTTGGTCGGCATCCGGTTAAAAATAATAACAAAGAGTCTTTAACAGAAAAAAGCGGTTGTCATTCCATCCTATGAATAATAGTTTTAAGTCAAGTTGTATAAAGAGAGTTAAGAGAGGTTTTCAATTGAGTGTCCAAAACCAAAGAAATCACTCAGACAGATCACGAAGAATACAGGCAATCTAGTCAACCAATCAAAACTCGAAACAAATACATGCAGGCGATACGAAGAGCGGTTGAAAAAAGTGTGCAAATGCCCCTAAAAAATCTACACTAACAGCATGCCGTCTCCTATTTCCTGAGCTCTTTTCGACCTGTGGTGTGTTGGCCGGCATCCTGTTAAAAATAATAACAAAGAGCCTTAAACAGAAGAACGAGGTTGCTATTCCATCCTATGAATGATAGTTTTACGTCAAGTTGTATAAAGAGAGTTAAGAGCGGTTTTCAATTGACTGTCGTAAAACCACAACCAAAGTAATCACTTGTGCAGATCACAAAGAACAAAGGCAATCCAGTGAGCCAATCAAAATTCCAAAAAAGTACATGTAGCCGACGCGAAGCGCGGGAAAAAAAAGTGTGCAAATGAGTTAAACCAAAGGAAATGCTAATAATTGTCATTATAATCTATCAAATATTTTCGCTCGCGTGTGATTGGTCTAAACGAGTCACGAGACTGATTAAGGGCCAGCTAAAACTGAGGAATATCGGATTGATATTCTCCAATTTTCAAAACTGGGTGCGTGGTGCAAAATAATAAACACAATAGCCTCCATTTAGCGCGAAAATATGCTTGGATATTTGTCCATGGAAATTATCTGTTCCTCAAAGCTTACAGTTTTCCTCGAGCTACGCTCTCGGAAACTGTTCGCTCCTCGGAATAGATAATGCCTGCGGAAAATATCCGAGCACAGTTTCGCGCCACATGGAGGATATTAATTATAAATTCAAGTACAAATCGCTCTAGTAAGCCCATAACTAAAGTAACACTGAAATCCCTTGTAATACACTTAAAACAAAAAACAAACTGTTCTAATTCACTGCGATTTTGTGCTTCTTCTCACCTTCGCGGTATTTAACAATTGTGGTGTAATTACCGATGACGCGCAGACAGTGAAACATTTCTACAATAAAACACAATTGCCAAGCAACAATGGTTTACGTAACACCAAATCAGTGACACTCAAAATCGCACTAAGATTCCACGTTGATCGACTGGAGTGATACAATAACACACCTTTCTTAAAAATGGTTAATTTAAAATCCAGCGAAAAAATGTATCATAAGATATAGATTACAGGCAACTTGTGGTTTGCACATGAGCTCGAAGTAAAACATCAGATACTGGCTAATGCAATGTATCAAAATAAAACAGTGTTTGTTGAGTTATTGACTTTTAAAATATCCAATTTTTTCATTAACAGCTCACCTTTTGTTATTCCTGCTGTCTTTATCTCGGGGCAAATGCACTTGGATAAGTTCAAATCCGGGTTCAGAGTCACTTTGGTCAATGGCGAGCAGACGTTTACGAGGACAGACTGCTAAATGAGACACTGCTCTTTCCAGGTCGATCACGCTCAACAGGTCACCAGACTCGACGTTAAATAGTTGAAGACTAGAATCTCCAGAGGCAGCGTCAGAGAGGATAACACATTCTTCGTCACTGACAAATTGGCAATCAGAACAATTAACACCTTGGTCTAAAATACGTATTATTCCTCCTGAGAATGCATCAAGGACGTACATTCCTCGGTCACCGTCTTCTGTTTTGGCGGAAATGACAACAAACTGTTCAGAAAGTGAAAACGTTCCAATGAAGCCTTCCCTGTGGAGAAAACATTCCCA